GTCTGTAGTTTTATGTGATATATTATTTTGGGGGTATTGTATATTTTCTTGTTTTTGTGTCATATTTTCTTCGAGGATTGGTGGAATATTTTGTATTTTTAATATCGTACTTGGTTGGTTCGTATCTTTGAATTCTCGATTGATTTCTTGTGATATCGTATCTTTGAATTCTCGATTGATTTCTTGTGATATTTTCTGTTTAGTTCCATCACTATCTACACGAGTTGGTATTTCTTGTTTGTGATTAATTTCTTGGTCATTATATGTCAAAACTTGATCGTTTTGTATCAAATTTGATTGCTTAACACTTTTGAATTCCAGGCTAATTATTTCTTCTGGTAATTTTTGCATCTGTGTATCTTGCATTATCATGTCTTCTTTCTCATTATTTACATGTTGTCGTATATTTTTTATATTGGATTGTGTTTTTCCATGGTTTTCTGCCAGTCTTGGTTCGTTAACGTCTTTTTTGAAATCTAAACTAATTGTTTCCTGTGGCAACGTTTGTTGTAACACATATGGTAGTATTACTCCATCTTTAACTATTATAGGTATTGCCAAATATTTTTGTATACTTTCTACCATTAACTGATCTTCTACCACGTGTATTTTTGTATCATTGGTTGTGTTTTGTATATATTCTGAAGATATGTTTCTTTGATCATCTCTTTGTTTACCGTCGTGACTAACTTCAGGATAGTCTGATTTCATTTTTTGTACGGGTGTTATAATTTTCTCTTTTATATTTATTTCTGGGTTATTTATTGTTGTGTTATGTAGAGTCGTTTCGTTGTATTTCTGAGATTTGTGTTTGAAAATTGAATCCTGTTCTGGTTTAATTTCAGATTGACTTACACTATCTTGCATGATATTTGGTGAAATGTTTTTGTAATCTATTGTTATATCTTGTGTGTAAGAAGAATCTCGTTCAAGTTTTATTTCAGGGTTATTTATTTTGAAGTTATTCAAATCATGTATGTTACCTTTTTTATCACTTTTCATGGCAGGGTTCGCAACTTGCAAATAAGCAAAAAGTTTGTAAATATTTCTTTCTAGTTTACGACGTGATTGGTTTTCTTTAGGTGTTAAATAGAAAGTGTAATAACCGTGTACTTGTGGGTTATTTTCACCTGAAAAGAACAGAGTGTTGTGATTTATATACAGGTTATTTACAATATGGTTATTTACATGGTTTATAGCATTGAATAAGGCTTTTGGCTGATTTGCGATGCCAAAGAAAATATCCTTAACATCGCAAACGTGTTGAGAGCCTTCGGACATAACTCACCCTCTATAATAATGTGACTAAATTAAAAAAGGTAAATTTTTTGACAACTGACAAAAAGTCCAGTCTAAAGCACCTTAAAGCGAGGTATTTGGACGTGAGACTGGTGATGTGCCGTCGGGCGGCCGTATGTTTCAAATTTAGGATAAATGTGAGTTTCATATCTGTCTATGCTTCAGTTAAAAACCAAAGTTCTCTGTAGTGCTTATGAAATATTTCCATATAAAAATTATGTGCAAAGTTACATATTTTATTCTTAAATAATTCATTTTAGACTTATATTTTAACCTGTTTTCAGGATTTTATACGATCGGATAAAGTACATTCTATCATTTAACAAATTAGCACATTCTTTAGACCTCCTCGTCCATCCTCACGTGTGTCGTATATGTTTTGTAAGACCGTTTATTTAATAGTAAATATACGGTTTGGCCTAGCGAAACAGTTTATCCCGCTTCTCCTCCAGTATATCACCATAAGTGTGACACTGGACTTTGGGACAGCTTTTACTCCTAGCGTTTTAGAGTTGAATTTAAATCTTAAGTTTCAAATTTAGCGTGTTATTGACCCTGTACCTGCCGCCACCAGTTCAAAGATTGAACAAGAAAATTGACGTAATAATACTCTATTGAAAACTAAACTACGATTTTTATACAGTTGAAAGCTGTCTAAAACCAATGCTTGTATTGCCAAAGACACTCTTAATACATTATGTTAAGAGTGTCTTATCAATTAAAGCGTTGGTTTAATTTTTTTTAATTTCATAAGTGTGTCTTAAGCAACCTAAAGTGCTGAAGAACCTGTACATTAAATATCCGTCAGTCAAGTGCGTTATACAGGGTGTTTTAAAAAAGAAGCGATTGTATTACAACTATCGATTTGATGGTTTAGCACATTGGCTTACAATTATATGGACGTCGGGTCCGCGCTAAAACGTGTCCGAACTTATAGGGCGTTAAAATCGTATACAGAGCGTCATTCACGCTTTAGTCTTCGTTTGTTCGACTGACAGCGAAGCAAGCAAAACTAGACTGTACTGCGATGACATTACAATTTAAATTGAACGTTTTAGCTTTTTCATATTCCTTTAAATGTCACTACGCTCAAGTATTAGACCCGTCGTCCATTTATTTGTAAGTCAATGGTTTGGCATAATGATTTCACAAATCTGTATGGCATCGTGAATGAATGTTTTTGATGATGGAATATGATATCCCTGTGGGCGCTAGAAAAGGAATATCCCAGGTGGATTCCCAACCAACAGAGTTAATTTGTAAAACAAACTTTTGTAAATAGTTGATCCGAAAAAATAGTCTCATTTCTTTTGTGCAGTAATCGCGGCAAGCCAAGAACTCGATGTATTGAAATGATTTTTATTACAAGAAATATAAATCGTGACCTAAGTTTCTCAAACTCGTATCTAAAAGTACAAAATAATTGAAATGCAAAAAATGGATTGTATAAACAAATTTTGCAGGCTGATGGCATATCACATTTCCTTCATATTCACAAACTGGCGTTTACCTATTCTTAAAGTAATGCATCCTAATTAATAGAATAGAATAGAATAGAATTATTTATTCGGACCATGATCCATAATAATGTTAGTAATACAGAAAATTAATACCCATGACAAGAAATTTAAAATAAATGTAAAGTTTTGCCCTCTCCTGAATAATCACTCTTTCTAAGATACGAGTTTGAGAAAGTACGGCATCGAGATCTCAAAAACGGCTTACGAATTACTTTTACGCAGCTTAGGGTTCTATAAATATGCCATATAAAGCCTTATTTGTAAAATACTAACAACCTCTCCGGACTATATTACTAACAAAATAATACACAATAACTTTGTTCCATGACTTTAATAATGCATTAGATTTTACTTTCATACAAAAATATTTAAATAGATCGCGTGTGTGGCTGTCGTCTGACAGGATCACCGTACCAGGACAAGCACGGAGAGCGCATATATTTGTGTTGCCTCTCCCCAGACTATGGCAAATTTTTTGTCTTGTCCTGCGTGCTCCTACACCTGGAGACGCGAGGATCTGTACAACGCCACTGATAATGCTGTTTCAGTCGCTGAATACTGATCCTCGCAAATATAAACGTCAGAGTCGACATGCGAAGAAGAAGAAGACACGATCACGGACGCTTGGTTATTGGAACTTACTTCCTTCCCAAATATAGATCTAAAAAGTGTCAGATAGTTCAACAACAAAAATTTTTTTTTCGTAAAGAAGGATGGCGAAAGCTGCGCCAATAACGACGAAGAGCCGTTCATTGACTTTGTTAGTATAATTATTATCTTGCGCTTTAGTTTATGCCTAGTTATAAATATATTTTTGTATATTTTTAGAAGTCGGGGATAAAGAAATTGTAAAACATTGTAGTTTAGAATAGATGCAAGAACACAACGCAATTGATTCAGTTAGACCATAGATTAGATAACGTTCTTGTACTTACGTTTCATTTTAAGCATGATTGAATGTTTACCTACCTGAAGTATTGGTTATTTTATAGTACACATATAAAACATTAAAGCTATAAAATACCTAATAAAAACAATATGATGTGATGATAATGAAAGTTGTAAAGGAACGTTTTGACAAGAGACTTCTTGCGATTCGCTCTGGACCTTTTGAGTGTTCTCCCCCCATATTGTTACTCTATGTAAATTTATCCACTTAAATAACATATATTTATAAATGTTGTTTTGCTGTTTTGTTTTACATTCTCAACTGAGTACTCCCCGTAGTCCAACTTACCAACACCGCTTAATGTCCTATTAGAGCTTAGCGAAATTTCTTTTTTTTTTTTCGTTTTTTTTCTTTCAACTGTGACATTGGCAAAATCATCAGTTCTCATATTGATGGAGCCATAAAAATAAAAAGTGAAGTGAAGTGAGGGAAAAGTGTCGTTTTTATTTTGTTTTTCAATTATTTTGTGAAATCTAGTTTAAAGTGGAATAGGATAGTGCTATTGTGCCTTAATCGAAAATTAAAACGCGAAATTATACGAATCTCGAACTAAAATACCAGTATCGGCCCGTTTTAGGGAATCCCGAGTCAATCCAAGCACGCCACCTCAAATTGCCTATCCTCTTTGTGGAGGTCATATTTACAGAAACATAATTAAACTTCATGTTTAGGCTGATGGCTTTGCCAAAGCCTTAATAAAAAAAAAAAGAAAAAAAAGAGTCCTCTTGCCAATGTCACATTGATATTGAGAACAGTGTGACCATTTGTGGCAGATTTCAGCCGTTTGGGCAGATTTAATTTTTATTCATTTTCATTGCTGCAGAACATAATAAGTTATATTAAATGTGGCAGAGTTTTATATGCTTTATTATTTTTGGGAACAAACTGAAAACTTGTTGTTTTCTGCTACTACGAGCAAACATCTGAAGCGAAATACAGGACTATGTTATAAACATAACCTATATCAACTTTATAACCCCAGCTTCTACAGGCTGTACTCAATTATCTTTTTCTATGCTTTGAAGTATTGATAGGTCTTCTTAATGCACGTCGCCAAAAACACTGGGTCACACGGAATATCGCCATCCTTCTTTGTTATGTTTTATAAAAAGTCGTGGAACGAAAATTCTTGTTTATGATATTAATAATATAGTCCCGCGAGGTTGTTAGTATTCTACAAATTAACTGTATACAACATCTAAGCGTTATAACGGTCATATTAAGAGCCTTACTGAGGATCGACGCCAAATCCCATATGCGCCTTCATTTCATTAGAACAACCTCCTCTTTTATAATGCTGCCACGATGCACAAGACGAGGCTGTAAACGCGGCCGGTTTCAAAACGGTCTCGGCGTAGAACATGTATGAACGCCAATGGCTGCAGAAAACTGTAGGGGAAAAGTTAGTTAAGGTACATGGAAGCGTTAGTTCTTAGATGGATAATAAGAGAGGGTTTCTTTAGAACGAGGTCTGATTAATGACGTTTTATTAACAATCAGTGATTGGAATTGACGGAGTTAAACTAAAGAATAATGTGGACGTTCCCGTCGACTAACTGATGATCTGGAACTGATTTCTAATAGTATGCAAATAAATAATACGCATATAGATTTGAATGTGCGTATTATTAATTGAAATTTGAGCGTATTGGCAACTAATTATTATTTCCTATTACGTATTTGCTACAAATTATTGTGTATTTGCTACACTTTGGCGCAATGGACTGTCATTATACTCCGTCTTCAAATAAGACTGACTATACATTTCAGACTTAGGGTCGTATTCTAGAACTGTACACAATGCTCAAGTCAGGATTTGAGTATGGTTTAAAGCATAAATCATACTCAAGTGCTTGCCATTAGGGTCGTATTTCCAGTGCTTGAATCATACTCAAGTCTGCTCAAATACTGACTTGAGCATTGAGTAGAGTTCTGGAAGACGAGCATTAAAAAAGTTGCTTGTCTCATCTGGTAATCAAACCGAAGAAATGTGAAAAAAAATCCTGTATTTTTTAGAATGCCAATCGAAAGGGTCAACTACAAATATTAATTCCTTTTCAATATATATTAGATGTAGTAGGTATGATCGGTTTTGACGTTAGGAATTGTAAACGTTACTGAATTCAAATTAGGTTCATTTTTTTACAAGAAGGTATATAATTAATACACAACATTCGAATGCTAGCAGCAGTAGTACTGCCACCTTACCTATTTCTGCCGCCGTAAGGGTGCTGGTGAAATTGGCATATGGGACTCGTCATTTTATGTCTCAGGGTGACGGGCGCAGTGGCAGTGCTCAGATCTTTGCGATTTAAAGCTCTGAGTGGCACTGCAACTGTTATGGACAGGCGTGTAGCTTACCATCAGGCGCATGACTTGTTCGTCCTGTCACTTAGTATTATAAAAATAAAAAATTCAAGATTTCAAGAAAAATAAAGTTTTCAGACCCCTTCCTATAGAAACTAGAAAGTTTATTAATATTAGCTGGGTTATTATTATTAGTAAAATATTCCTTATTCTTTAGAAGTTAAGGTCTTATAATTGGTCAGATGCACGTGCTTTTTGAACGAGAATAAATATTTGGGCGCCGCGCAAATGTGTCTTGTATTGGATACAAGCAACCGGCAACTAGAAGGGATTTTTTTATTTTCATACAAATTTTGCGGCAAGCGGCGGCTGTGTGAATTTCATATCAATTGTATGAAAATAGAATGATCGCTTCTAGTTGCCGGTTGCTTGTCTCCAACACAAGACACACGTTTGCGTGGCGCCTCAGAAGTATTTTAGGAAGCAGCAAGAATATTTACATTTATTGAGCAGCAACTGTTCAGGTATGACGACCTCGAGCTCGCAGCCCGGCTGTGGACTGATACCGCCGTTAGGGTAGAAGTCCGCGTGGCCCATGGGGTGGTTCACGCCTGTAGACAGATTAATTATAAAGGCACGTGGCATTGAGAACAGATTAGATCGTTATAGTCGTCATCAACCCGTACGTCCCAATGCGGGTTTTCCTTCTTTGACGTGCAGGTCTCATCAAGAACTTTTTCCTTTAATGAAAAGATCATGGTAAATTTTAACTAAGCTTCCTTTGTTAGTTCATAATTTAACCGACTAACTTGAAAGTCAGTCTGACATTCGATGTGAAATATTCATAACATTTTCGAAACCTATTCCTGGACTTCGGAAATGGAAACAGAGAATCACGTCGCAATCACAAATGCACCAAGGTGGCATAAGGTAGAAACGTGTTGGTACGTTTGCGTCTTTATACTATCTAAAGGTGTCTTGAAAGACAACAGTCGTTTAAACGGCCTGTGATTTCTCGAGTCACGCGTAGGCGCGCGCCGCCGTAGGAAGAGCGCAGTCTGTGTTTGCGCAGATTTGCCTGTAAGGTCCTGTGGTAACTTCATAGCATTATAACGTCGTTATGGCTATTTTTCCACTATAGATGATCTACGTACTTGAGTTTCGATCGGGGCTAGAACTAACAATGTATGACAACGGCACTTGACAGTTTCTAAAGGGCCCGGGTTTTCGTTGACGGATTTCGAGAGTAGTTCCGTAGGTCATCCATAGTGGGAAAATGACCGTAACTAAGAACTTTGTGGTTCGAGAGTAGGGCCCCAGATTAGAGCTCGCATAGGCTCGAGGTGGCGCATCGCGGCCTGTTAAATCACAGGCCGTTTCAAACCACCTTTATACTGTGTCGTCGTTTCTTTCCTTACGCGCCAACATATGCCTGATACAGTCCATATTTGACAATTGACGATGCTTACCAAATATCCCAGCGTCAGTGTGTATTATATCGACGAAATCAGCGTCTGTGGGGTCCAGAATCTGTTCTTTAGGGAGGTGAGCGAAGAGGGGCAACGCTGGATCCAGACCAGTTATTCTTGATACCCGACCTGAACAAATTTTAAAAACTATTTATTGATCTCAAACCAAAGTCGAGGACGTTCTTAAAAAGGTTTTTGTAGACATGTGTTCGTAAAATCGTCGTAACGATAATTTGTTTTATTTTAAACAACAGATTGTCAGTTTCTTTGTTAATGCAATTATTTACTGTATTTCAATACAATTACGTTCCTATTTATGTACTTCTTATTCATACTAGATTAAGAGCGTTTATTTTTATATAATTAATTTTTCACTATCGTTTTTTAACTTGATTATTTTGATTAGCAGTACCTATCTACGTAAAATGGTAATATCAGTCCTTTTTTAAATAGAAAACCACCGCGAGACTCAGACATATTCACTAAAAATAACGGCTAACTCACGTATTTAAGTCGAATTTTTGCGATTTTTTGTCGAATCATGGGATTCCGCGGCGGTGACTCGACGGAAACTGCGCGCTAAAGCCTCTGGCAGCCCGATCACTCAGTACGGCAGCGGGCGCAGGCGGCGTCGGCGAGAAACTACCCTCGTTTGCTTCATTTTTATTAAAGTCATATGCAGGATTGCATCGACTGAAATACGCGAGTTATCCGTTATTTTTAGTTAATATCAGTCCTGCTTATGAGATGGGTTTTTTATGATATCAAACGACGGGACGAACAAGTGGTACGTCTGTTGGTAAGCGACACATACGTATCCATGAAAGCGCCTCTAAGAGCTTTAAATCACAAAGATTTGAGGTGCAAAAAAGTGGCAATCCACTGCGCTGTAATTTTACCACATTATTGTGTTGGTGTTGGTGAAATTACAGTCACAAGGGACTTGTCAACTTTGTCTATTTTTCTTCCCTTTTTGGTATCATAAAATAAATATGCTTACCAGAGTTTAATGCGGCTCCGGCAACGCCAGCCGCTTGAGCACCCAAACTGTGTCCAATCAAATGCGTTTTTTTCAAGTCCAGACCTCTGGAACAAGATTAATAAATATATGAATAACTATCGAGTTCTTAAGTATTGATCGTACTCGCTGTGAAGAGCTCGAAATTTTATTTTGTTTGGGAAAAAAAAATATTGCAACAACATCGTTTAAGTGGGACGGCCTGTATACAGAAACGAACGAGTATCTTCACGACAACAGTCTGTAACATGTTTTCTTTAACGCACACATTGCATAAAGAACTTTATTTCGATCAATTAGGCGTTTCCCCGAGCAAATGACCTTGAGCATTCAGGCCCCTCTTACCGCACTACACCTCCACAATCTTTCGTAAAACTACTCACGCCATCTAGCGAATGACGCAAGCAGCAGCAAGCGACCAATCATACGTGAGACGTGGGGGGAGCTTATTTCAAAGGAAATCGATTGCTAATAAACTCGAAAATAGTTTTTTAACCCGTAAGGTGGATCACAAATTATAGATGGCGGTTATTTAAAGTTTAAAATTAACAAAACACTGACGACGCATTTTTCGCTACGCTTTTGTTCGCTACTAGCGTGAAAATTCGATACGTTTACACAGTTCTCCAAAAGATAAAACTCGACCATATTGCACTGTGATAATGTTTACTTTCGTTTATTTACAGTACAAGAAATCAATTCGATAAATAGAAAATTTAAAATCTTTTTTCCACTCCAAAACAGCACAATGATGCATACTTCAACGATTTAGAAAATTGCGCAAAAGAATTGACTATTATATGGTACAATACGAAAATCCCCGAATGAGCTCTAGTAGGCGGAACTACGCCTACAGTTGGCACGCGAGTTACGCTAACTTACCGCTTGTACTGTTGTGCACGGGTGTCTTCGAATATGACCATTATGCTATTAGCGGTAGAAAAAACTACTGACCTTGAAACCATCCAATCGATCAACAGCGCAGCAAATCTTCCGATATACCAAGTGTTTTCCGCCGCTGTAAAATACCAAGGCCCGGCCTCCAAACGGGACGCGTCCACCATTATTACGTTCGTGTCTCCACGGAGTACGTAGGCTGGGGAATAAAACTCAATAGAATAGCCATATTCCAATATGATGTAGGACAATGTCACTGGAAAATGGTCCATGTCGATCTCAAATAATATTTTGTATTTAAATTTGTAGTTAAATTGTTTTTATGTGAAATGAAATTAAGATCTTTATCTTTATTAATTAAGATCGAACACTCAGAAAAAAATCCTTCAATCTGGCCGGATTCGAACCGACATCTTCTAGCATACCTTGCCAGACGCTATACCAACTAAGCCACGGAACGAACCAGCGTAATTCACGAATTTTTCTATGTGCTTGCGTGGTATCTTTGTATTTGGGTTTTCAACGACTTTTTAGCCGTAGTGCCATCTATGAGAAATCTATGATATTTCGTCATCCAGTTAGATATCTTTACAGCTACCAGCCCCGGCTAGAGATGTCGCTGTTCTTTGTTTTAAATTTTTATTGAATTGATATTCAGTTGATGAATGAATGAATTTATATACCAAGAGACGGGACCATAGACGAAAAAAATAACAATGAAAGTGCGTTAAGCCTCGATTACTATCAGAGCCGATGGCGCCAAAACTCACGCGTTCTTAATTTAAGAAACATTACAATATCTTGATATTGATTAGTTGTAGCATTGACTTACAATTATGGGTCCGCGCTAAAAAGTGTCCGAACTTATAGGGCGTTAAAATCGTATACAGAGCGTCATTCACGCTTTAGTCTTCGTTTGTTCGACTGACAGCGAAGCAAGCAAAATTAGACAGTACTGCGATGACATTACAATTTAAATTTAACGTTTTAGCTTTATCATATTCCTTTACATGTCACTACGTTTAAATAGGTTGACTTGGGACATTTTTTTCGTGGTTTTTGTATTAGACCCGTCGTCCATTTATTTGTAAGTCAATGAGTTGTAGTTTCAAAGGAGATCCGCCAAAATGACCCCAGGCCCGGCGCCAAAATAATGTAACTCAGTTTTTAGAGTAAAAATAACAATAATATTATATAGTTTCGGTATTGCTAAATTCACGTGCTAACATAGCTTTTTTGGCTGTTGAATTTTCATAGGCGCTTTATGAAAAATTCTATTTATTAGAGAAGCGTCGTCCTTTTTAGTTCATTAACATTGTAATAAATAATTATGGCATATAAGCATGTATATCAATCATATTATTATTATTATTATTAAATGAAACTCAACTCACTACAGAAGAGGCCAACAAATCACGACTAATAACCATGTGTCGTTGAGTTGTAGAAACTGTGAATGGCAAGTTTAAAAATAGCTTTAAAATCTTCCGCAACAGAATGTTTAACAATACCTTGACGAAAACATTCACAGATTTCAAAATAGCAGCGGCTTTGATAAACTGCTTTCAGGAGCCTTACGAAGACAGTAGATTTACTGATGATTTTATTGCATCAATAAACCGCAACATACATAAAACAAATCTGTTGGCCGCGTATGTTTTAGAAAACAACTTGAACAGGCAAAGAGCATCAGTTACTAGACTGGACGCAAACAATCCAGAAGTATCAGATTTTCCGGAGCTGACGTACGAAGATCTGATAAAATTCGCTATAGGCACATATCACCTCAAAATAGCACGTTCGTACTGCAGCGAACACACGAAGAGAATGGCGTATATGAAATCGAGGTTTACAGACACTCAGAACAAATATAATAAATGATCGAGTTATAAGGTCACAGTCGCATACAAACAACGTACTGATTCGCTGCAGAATTAATTCACGTCATGTCAGATCAAAAACTTATTATACCTATTTGTTATTTAATACTGCGGTTTTTGGAATCGAGGCAGTGAAAGAACATTACTGTTCCTGTTATCACGGGAACAGAACACTGGGAAGTTGCGCCCATGTAATAAGCGTCATGTACTATTTGGGTTGGGCTAGACACAATGAACGTGATTTAGACCACCCAGCTCTAGGCTTAGATTTTGTATTAGTTGATTTAGAAAACTAAGTCCATCAAACATATATTCTGTCGAGAAAATGAAAATATATATTATTTTATAACCATACTAAGTGTTTTATTTTACACATAGTTTCGAACATCTAATTTATTTTTTCATAGTTCACAGTACAGTACATACATGCTTATATGCCATAATGACTAATTACAAGATTAATGAACTAAAAATAACGACGTTTCTCTAAAAAATATAATTTTACAAAGAGCCCCTATTAAAATTCAACGGGCAAAAAGACAATGTTAGCATGTGAATTTAGCAATACCGAAACTGTATAATATTTTTGCTATTTTTACTCTAAAAATTGAGTTACATTATTTTGGCGCCGGGCCTGGGTTAATTTTGTATGGGATTTGGCGGATCTCCTTTAAAAAGAAATAACAAATTCTGGATTGTTAATATAATTTAAAGTTTACCCTGTTGGCATATCGTTGAAAGTTCAATACTATGAATACCTATTCTTGCAAGTTACGACGTTTTGAAATTATATTGTAATTTCAATCAATGTCCTGCCATCTAGCGGTAAAATGGTGAACCACAAATTGGATTTATTAATTTAGTTGTCCAAAAAAAAGCTACCATATTGCAGGGGTGTAGACTTTACTTTCGTTTCTTGTAACAAAAAATTATTACGATAAACTGAAAATTTATATAATAAGACTTTCCGATGATATGAAATACCACCACGGGGAATATTTTTGGTGCGGCTATCTTTTTGCGCTCCAAAACAGCACAATACGGCATTTTTCCAAAATTTTAGAGAATATGGCGGACTGAGCTCAGATAGGTCTTTCGAGGCCTATAATTGGCACGCGTCAGACGTTAAAGGCCCATTTAGATGGAGAGAGTTTCTCGCACGCTTCGTGACGAAAACTCGTACGCGATTATCGTAAGCAATAATCGCCATAAGATTATGGTATCCGTAATGTTTACATTCAGGCAAGAACTAAAATCTCGCCTACGATTATGTCATACGAGATTCGCAAGCAACTTAATCGCCTCCTCGACTGTTTACACGGAGAAATATGTAGTAAGGAGATTCTTGCTTACGAATTTTGGACTTGTCTAAACACGATCTCGTATGACATTTTTTCAAGTTCATACGATTATCGGACAAATCGGTTCGAACCGTTTTGAGTGCGGGAATTGCCATTCGAGTTCAGTGATTACTGCGGTATTTACTATGGATATATCAAAATGACTCAAAAATCATTCAAATTTGAAACTGCTGATAATATTAAGTTCATTGCACTGTATAGAAATATATTTTGTAGTATAATTTGTTTATAATTGTATTTTAAATTTTATAACTAGTGACACAAACAAAAACTGACAATTATGATAAATTTATAGGTCGAGTGAGTGCGTGATTGAGTGAATGAGCGAGTGAGTGAGTGCGTGATTGCGTGAGTGAGTGAGGAGTGTTTATTGAAAAGTGCATTTACTTGAAAAGTCGTGTCCGCCATCTTGGATTTAGAAATAAATGCTATATTCGTAATTTTTATTAAATCGTAATAGTTCATTCGTAAATTCGTAATAAACACTCCTCACTCACTCCCCACTCACTCTCCACTCATTCCCCACTCACGCCCCATTCACCCACTCACTCCTCACTCACCCACTCACTCCTCACTCACCCACTCACTCACTCACTCACTCACTCACTCACTCCCCACTTACTCTCCATTATTTGAAATTTTTTTTTCGCTCTCGTTCCATTACTTGTTGTCTTAGAAAAGCAGTGATAATCAAAACACCCTCGCGCACTGTACGCATGGTAGAAACGGCTGGCACAAAAACTCAAAATACGATTTTTGCTTTCAAGTTATGTTTACACGGAGACGTTCAACATGCAAAGGCGAGGCGATTATCGCTCACGTGGAAGGGCGATAATCGCGAATGTTTAGACGATAATCGCATCTTCGAGACGAGAAACTCTCTCCATCTAAATAATAATAATAATAATAATAATAATAACGCACACACTCAACATAGCCCCGCACTAGGGAAACCCTGTGTCGCAGGTGCCATGGACACACACATAGACAACCACAAATTACACCCAAACTCACGAGAGAAATAAATGTAGGTCATACAAATGTTTCTCCCGGCCCGGGAATCGAACCTGGGACCTCTGCGTGGCAGTCCGGCATGGTAACCGTTCGGCCACGGAGGCAGTTTAAATGGGCCTTAACTAACCACTTCTACTGTATTTATTGTTCTGGCCCCGTTCCCTTTATACAGCATTAAAGCAGAAGGGTTTTTACATTATAAAGTTCGTACTCTCAAATCCAAGATGGCGTTACAAATAAAAAGAATATTTTTTTTTGTATATTGACGTTGTCATTCTCAGTGTGCGACATTATATGGGCCTTACCCTCTCTAATGGCCAATGCGCTGCCATCATCCGGCGTCTCCATGAACGCGTGGAAATAGATAACCGTCGGTATGTGGAAGTCGATGCTCGACGCGAACAGTTTCTCGTCGTCATCGGTTTGCAGAACTTCGTACTCTAGCGGATTGCGCCTGGAAAATATTAGAATACAGGTGACAGGGCATTAAAATATGTATCGTAGCAACTGTAGACGCAATTATGTAAAAAGAATTTGGTAGATCAGCACAAATAAACTTTTTCGCGATGTAAGGTTCGTGTTGCGTGCGCGCCGACCGACTGAGGTGGCTTCAATTGTACTGTACTGTAGCTTGGATTGCGTAGCGAGAGGTACTTTTATGAATATAAACTGGAATAATCTTCAAAATTTACTTTATTTCACTTTTTTACATGCTTATAGTGTTGGGTTACATTTCGATTTCTCAAGATGCTCTATTCTTTTCTCACTTCATTTTCAAAAACATTCTAATTACAAAACTATTCATTCAGCCAGTGATTCTACTCATAGAGTAGAGCCTAGACTACATCCCTCTTAATCTTCTTTTTGTTCGTGTGTATGTTACGCGTGTTCTCCAACATTTGCAAACCGATTTCGATATATATATTTTTAATGGGTATTTCAGTAATTAGGAAAATATTCACGCCTAAGTTGGGATGTATCCAGTTTATTGGATTTCGCACACTTTCCGTTAACCGATTTCAATAAAACTTGCCGAATAGATGTATTTCCACTTTTGAGGGCGTTCTTTTTTATATAAAAAAGTTAATTATTTTAGATATTTAGGAAATGAAACTATTTTTCCGGATTTAAATCGCGTATATTTGTTTTTTCAAACAAACCGACGTTTCGGGACCATGGTCACGGTTGACAGAGGTGGTACAGTCTTCAACCAGTTAGGTTATTTTCACACTAATTTTTCACAACAATTGCAGTGCCACATAGAGCTTTAAATCACAAATATTTGAGATGTGCTGCCTGCCACTACCGCCATGAGATATAAGGAAATAATAAGATAAATGGAAATAACCATGAGATAAATGAAAAGTCCCATGTGCCTGTAACTTCACCATCCTTCGAAATCAGTAATGCTCACATTACCGCATGACGGCCGAAATAGGTAAGGTGGTAGTTCTTCCCTGGACGAACTCTTTCTCAACAGTCTCTACTGCTACTAAAATAAAAATAAAATATCAACAAAAAAGCTTCCATAGATTTTCTCACAGATACTTTGCGCTACGGCAAAAAAGAAAACCAAAACCAAGATTGAACACTTGGAACAAATTTCTTCGATCCGGCTGGATTCGAACCAAGGTTTTCTAGCAAACCGTGCCAGACGCTATGCCAGCGAAGCCACGGAACGAATCATCGGACTTTACGAAATTTTTGAATGTGCTTGTAGCAGGTCTTTGTTTTGCCTGTGAGAAATCTGTGAGAAATATAAATTGTTATAATTTTTAAATTTTCAACCGTTTCTGATTTATCACAAAATTTAAAAAATATATAATTAAATTTTTATTTAATTTGATATTCAATTATTTTTTGTGAACTTACTCCACTAGTTTGTTATAATTATTAATACAAAGATCGAACACTCAGAAAAAACACTCAGAAAAAATTCCTTCGATCCGGTCGGATTCGAACCGACACGTCTTCTTGCATACTGTGCCAGACGCTAAACCAACTAAGCCACGGAACGAACCAACGGACCTCACGAATTTTTCTGTGCTTGCGTCGTGTCTTTGTACTTGGTCTTTCAACGACTTTTTAGTTGTAGCGCCATCTATGAGAAATCTTTAACAGATTTATCACCCAGTGAGTCCCTTTACAGCTACCAGTCCTGGCGAGAGATGTCGCTATTCACTGTATTAATTAAATTTTTATTGAATTGATATTCAATTATTTTTTTGTGAAGTTACTCCACTAGTTTGTTATAATTATTAATACAATAATATATATATAAAATAATAATATATATTAAAAAATATATATTTTGTTGATTTTCGTTTTTTTGGCTTTAATAAGTCAGTGTTAAAAGGAATGTTAGAAGGAATTGTTACTTTGTTGTGTACTTCTTATTTATTATTTAAATATCAACGTTACTGTTTTGTATTCTCACTATTTTTTCGTTCACTTTTTTTTTATTATAACATCAAGTGCCGGGACGAACAAGTCGTGAGCCTGATGGTAAGCTACACGCTAGTCCATAACAGTTACAGTGCCACTCAGAGCTTTAAATTGCAGAGATCTGAGGGGCACTACCACTGCGCCCGTCACCCTGAGACATAAGTTGACAAGTCCCATGTGCCTGTAATTTCACCAGCACCCTTACCCTTGGCGACAGAAACAGTTACGGTGGCTGTACTACCCTGGACGAACCTTTCACAAGGAGTTCTCTATTGCTACTAAAAAATGTACCAGTTAGTAAATATTAGACAACGTCAAATATGTTGCTCTGATTTCAAAGTAACTAGAGCACATGTGTTATGGAAATCGGAAACAGCAAAAACCCAGACCCGGGACAATATTGAAAAGTGAATTTTCTACTTTGACCCAACCGGGGATCGAACCCGGGACTCCGGGAGGTTGCCGAAAGTTAATGTGCGTTAGTTCTTGTTTTACCGACTCGAAAAAAGGAGAACGCTCTTAATTTGAGTACATTTTTTTTGTATGTATGTTACGCGGGAACTCCGGCCGATTTTTAAACCGATTTTGATGATTCTTTTTTTGTTGGTACCTCAGATTTGCTCCCATTTATATTTGTCGAAAATATTCCACCTCTAAGGGTGCCAAATTGGAGATGAATCAGGTTTCGCGCATTTTCCGGTAACCGCTTTCAATAAAACTTGGCAAATAGCTGTAATTCTACGAACTTTTGAGTTTAGTTTAAAAAAGTTTACTTACGGAGTATACAATCTGAACTCTATGTCACTATGGTCTCGTACAAAGGGACATTTTGCTTTGTCGACAGGGGCTATTTGCAGGAGGGCGTTCTCGAACTGTACCCCTGGAGGTCCTGGAACAATTTTTTTAAATGCGTTAAGCCGTTTACTAGTTACATCCGGAGTATGATGATATAGGATAAGTGATAATAATAATACCAGAAAATTGCCCTGTGTCTTCTACTTTGGAAATATTTTCCCAACTGTTCTATCATCAATAGATTACATCTCAATAGAGCAACTCGGAAATGTTTGTACGACCATCAATAAATTACGCCACTTTACAGCATTCTCATACATTTCTACTTCTTAGGGTGCGTGGCGAGAATGGTCATGTACACGACGAGAACTTTATCGGATCTAGCCACGAAAACATGTCGTATCTGTTGCAGTCGAGAAAATTATGAGTACACGATACGAATGCTTTCGGACAGACGTGTGTAGGGTAAAATGTGTCAGTGCATTACGAGTCTTCCAGGTAGCTGTCGTTTTACTACCGACTTGTGGGAAGAAATATGTTGTTGTATATGTTGACTATTAAACAACACCTGTCCACGCGCATAAACATTCGTTTACTGACAATGCATCTCACTTCGCCCCATACAATAGCAGCAGAGCACCTCTTGTCGGGGGTAGACTGGATTTTTTTCTTGTCCGGCGCCGAAGCAGTCTACACAGTTCGTGTGTAGAAACGACACGAATTTTTGCATAGATTCGGCGACTTTTCTTAGCGTGGACACGCGCCCTGAGAGCGTGTTCCCATTATGTCGTAACGTTTTATTTATCTGTCGTGACTGTGTTGTGGACGTTTATAGTTGAACGACTGTCGTGTCAAGCTGTTCTCACTAGATCGTGACGACAATTTATTGGTACACGGCAGCCGCCTTGTCGCTTACAGTCAAAATCTGCGATTTTGAAGCTGCGATTATCTGTCGTCATATTTTTATCGTGACGTTATATTTATCGTCTGACGACTGTCGTTCTAGTTCTTGCTATTGTCCCGACAGTTTGTCATAAAAGTCGTGAATTACAACTGCTAATCGTGTTGTACTATATGTGAACAACTTCATTTAAATATACAAGCCAGAATACTTTAAACTACACGACTCTCTGTCGCCACGACATAACTGGAACGCGCCGTAACTTTTGTTTATAGTGACCATTCCCTACCGACCCTTAGGGTGTACGAGAAAGACATTATAACCTGTGCAAGCAAGTCTGCACAGGGATCTTATCGGTCAGGTCCTGACCCCAGATGTCATCCGGTTCTCAAAAGGCTAGTGCCTTGGGTGAGATGCCACCGATGTACACAGTAGAGCAGATCGGAAATGTTTTTACTACCATCAATAAATTACGCAATAGTAGAAAACTCGGAAATGTTTTTACTACTACCAATAAATCACACCACAGCTGCACAGTAGAGCAGTCCGGGAATGTCTCTTTCTACAATAAAATAATATATGAGTCAGTAAAATAATTTGGAAGGTTTTTACCAAACAGCTATCAATAAATTACTCTTTAGTAGAGCAGTTGGGAAATGTCTCTTTAATGTGAATATATATATTATATATACGCTTCAATAAAATAGTTCGGAAATGTTTTACCTAACAGTTCTACTATAACTACGTCACGTCACGTAGAGCCCCTCGGAAATGTTTTTACTGCCATCTATAACTCACCATAGGTGAAAGGTTAAATGAAAACTGCGGCTAGAATATAATACAATTGTATATAAAGGTAAACCTCAAATGTCCATACATAACAAAGTAAAATGTATTGCATATTGTTCTAAACCATCCATCTTCAATTGTCTATTGATCAAGCCATTTTGTAATACAACAGAAAATTGATCTGGCAAATTGCAAAAGAAGTATGGCGAAAGCTGACCCAAAATCAACGAAGAGCCGTTCATAGACTTTGCTAGTATAATTTTACTGTTTAGTTAATGCCTAGTTATCAATATATTTTTGTATATTTTTAGAAGTAGGGAATAAATAAATGTAAAAATAAATGTAAGTATATAACGCAATTGACTCAGTTCGACCGTAGATTATGTAACGTTCTTGTACATATGTACCTACGTTACATTTTAAGCATGATTGAACATTTCCCTACATAAAGTATTGGTTATTTTGTAGTACACACATAAAACATTAAAGCTATAAAATACCTAATCAAATAATGTATTAAAAAGTAATGACATAAACTAAAAAATAAAACACAAACAATGTGACAAAAGTGATTAGACAATATTTAAATGAGAGATAACAAAGTTAGCAAAGGAACATTGTGACAAGAGGCCTTTTGCATTGGTCAATGTCACATTGAGATTGAACAATGTGACCATTTGTCGCCGATAACTGCCATTTGGGCAGTATTAATTTTTATTCAATTTCATTGCGGCAGAACATATTAACGTTGTATTAAATGTGGCAGAGTTTGGCAGATTTGGGATGGCAAATTCAGCAAGTTCTTTATTATTTTTGGAAACAAACTGAAAACTTGTTGTTTTCTGCTACTACGAGCAAACATCTGAAGCGAAATACAGGACTATGTTATAAATATAACCTATATCAACTTTATAACCCCAGCTTCTACAGGCTGTACTCAATTAGCGTTTTTGATGCTTTGACATTGAATCACAAGTATTGTTAGGTCTATTTAATGCACGTCGCCAAAAACACTGGATCACAAAATACACGGATTGTCGCCATCCTTCTTTGTTTCTTTGAATCTCTTAGATGGCATCAGTGGCTCAGCGGTGAGCACGCAGATTCGCACCAATTTAAGAAAACGACTCGAGTAAAATTATTCAGGTCTTGTTGTTCAGAGTAGTTTTGGAGTTATTGATCATCATACTCATTTTATGGTCTCAAACGTTCTTCGGTATAAATAGCTTCAATGTATAGTCCAAGCAGGTTTATATTGACGTTTTTTAACCGACTTCAGAAAAGGTGGAGGTTCTCAATTCGACTGTATGGTTTTTTTTATAACTCCGGTATTTTGTGAACCGATTTTCATGATTCTTTTTTTGTTGGAAAGAGGGTGCGTCCATAGTGGTCTCATTTAATTTTGAGGAATAATTTAAATTTATTATAATTAAATAGTTGATTTTGCTATTCTCCAATTCAAGGCGTTTCTCTCTCTCAATATACTTTGAGTAGTGAGCACCGATTTTTATTATCTCCTGTGTGTATGTTTTTTTAATTTATTTATTAGATGTACAAAACAGTTTATATTCACTCCTTAACCAAAGCTTAAACATTACTACTAGTTCTACTCTTGAATGTAAACCTAAACAAGTACATACAGCATGACCAATCATGAGTAAACAATTTTGTTTGAAATATAAATTGTTTGTAAATTAATATAAAATACTTAGGCACAAATAAAACTGTAACCTTGAATAAAATAGAATTACTATGACTATAACCATGAAAGAGAGAAACCGTGGTGGTTGTGGATTCGATTGCGAAATCTTTTAACATTACCATCAAATATATCCATCCCTAAATCATCGCCAGGGTCAGCCATAAGGTCATTGTAGGCCCGACACATTCTCGTCAAAGGGTTGTAAAAAGAAGTATTATTAGTATAAACATTCAATACGAATGGTCTAGGAAGGCGTCGTGGATTGCACTTGATGTTAAAATTAATATTGGACAGAAGCGTTGACGATTTAAGCCCTACGTCTAGAATTCAAGGACATAACCTCAAAATGGGATAACCTCTCTTCGTAACGCGACAATTTGCGAACCATGTGTGATCTGTAACTTACTATTTTGAGAGCTCTTATGTGTTCCATGTAGTGGCGAACTAGGGGATGATCCGGGTTTGCGCAATTTCCGGTAACCGATTCGGTCGGTTCTTTTTAGTACTCTGTACTGAGATTATAACACTAGTGTTGCATCGGCGAAGCGCTTTATTAGAATAGTCTGCTTTTTTAGCGAGCAGGTATTTACTAAGTGTTGCGAAAATGTATAATTATAGCTATACCTTTATAGTGTAGTTGCTAGTTATATAGTAATATTTTAAGGACCATTAAACAACTTTATGTGTGTCTATCGGTGAGGACCTGGAATTGGCTCTCCGTTACTATTTCAGTTTTTACTCTGTAAGATAGCCGGTGGTCTTCCAATAAGTTAAAAGTAAATACGTGATTCGTACTTTATTTGACGTAGTACGTTACCAACTGTCCACCAATACACTACATCAAGGAAAGATTTGCCACCACAGGTGTTAAGGACGGAGTGGTAAGGTTGGTGGACGTAGCCACTGCGGGAGGGTTGCTTCGTCGGCCCTCTAAGAAACCGGTCAGGTTAGTCACCTAAGGTACTGCTGGCCTTGGCTAACCGGGCTAGTTGCTGTGCATTCGTGTACAGGGGGGACATGTTGCATTTAGTATTTTTAATTATTTTGATTGACGTCGGTTTTGTATTATGTTTTGTTTTTTTGGTTTGATGTTTTAAATTTATTCAGTGAATTTTGTGAATTTGCTTAGGAAACTACCAAATATACAATAATAACTTACTAACTTATTAACTGCCTCCGTGGCCGAACGGTTACCATACCGGACTGCCACGCAGAGGTCCCCGGGTTCGATTCCCGGGCCGGGAGAAATATTTGTATGACCTACATTTATTTCTCTCGTGAGTTTGGGTGTAATTTGTGGTTGTCTATGTGTGTGTCCATCGCACCCGCGACACAGGGTTTCCCTAGTGCGGGGCTATGTTGAGTGTGTGCGTTATTATTATTATATATTATATACAGTCCACTAGTTTTTTGTAGCTTTCATTTTATACCAATATACTTTTACCATTTTCTTTGCAAGTCTTTCTCTGCGTACTACCGTTACAATTCATGTTTGGAGTAAGGTGGACCATACACTCATAGTACAGGTTATTCAGTGTGAGACAAATTTGCATTTTATTTATTAGACGCAAAACACATAAAAGTAGATATTTACATACCGACGCGCGTTTTTTTTAGGATAATAAGTGATAAAAAAAAAAAAGAAAAAAAAAAGATAATAAGTGATGGGACGAACAAGTCATGCGCCTGATGATAAACGACA